AATAGCACTAAGCTTCTGTCTTAACTCGGGCTATTGATGAGACCCTTAACATACCAAGGGGGTCCTTCAAAGACCCCAGAGAGTAGTTTTCCTTAACCCTGTCAAAAGTAACCAAACAAATCCCACCATGATTTTTCTATTCCTCCCGATTAGGGTAGCAATAAATATTCCATTGTTGTTTTTATTATACGTTATTTCAAAAACAGTAAAAAAAAATAAAAGAGCATTGGGGTCCCTGTAGGACCCCGCCTGGTACACTACGTTACCGATTGCGTTTTTGTTTTTTAACACTTATGGCTGAAATTGTAGACACATTTTAAAGGTTTCAGTATTAAAAAGTATTATTCTGCATTCTTACTGAATATTTGCTCATCTTACTTACTTTTAATTTGTCCTCCATTTGCAAAACTTCCGTTGAAAATTATTATTTTCTGTTTCAAATAAAGTTTATAATTTGCTGTAAAGATTTTGATAACATAAAATATAAACGTAAACGTTTGAAAATAAGAAAAATGGCTCGTAGACAAACTACAGATGAGATTCTCCGAATGTTAGATGAATGTGAAATCAGTGACAGTGACCCGGAAGATGTATTGGAACAATCTGATGAAGAATTTACACCAGCAGGAGATGCATCCGAATTGGAGGACAATCTTGAAGTAAATTCTGAATATAGTGACAGTGCTAGTGAAAATTCGGATACAAATTCGGATGAAGATGAATTCACAGCAAAATCAGATAGAGGATGGACAAGTTCTGTGCCACCATCATCTCGCCGTCGTCAATATAACATTGTCAAGGGATCACCCGGGCCAACACGCGCAATTAATGTTGCATCGACGATATCTGAAATTTTCAACTGGTTCTTTGACGACCGAATTGTGGATGCTATATGCACCTTCACCAATGCTGAAGCTTCTAGAGTTATTAATGATTTCAATGCAACTGCTGATTCGAATAAACAGAAAGCTTGGACAGATGTAGACCCTGTTGAAATAAAAGCATTTTTTGGTGTTCTGCTGATTGCTGGAGCTCTTCGCTGTAGAAAGGAAAATATTTCTGAAATGTGGACGACAGATGAAAATATTCGTCGTGCTGTTTTTACTGCTGCCATGGCACGAAACAGATTTGCACTCATCCTTCAATTTATCAGGTTTGACGACAAATTAACACGTGCTCAAAGGAGAACAACTGATAAACTTGCAGCTATTCGTGAAGTTTGGGATTGGTTTGTAATAAATTGCCAAACGCTTTTTACGCCATTTGAAAACATCACAGTAGACGAGCAGCTTGTAGCATTTCGAGGCAAATGTCCGATGAGGCAGTACATGAAATCAAAACCAGCAAAATATGGAATAAAAATATGGGTGGCCGCAGATGTGAAGACTTCATATTTGTACAACTTACAAGTCTACACTGGAAAGCTTCCAGGAAATGCACCAGAGAAAAATTTAGGACACCGCGTAGTATGTGACTTGGTGGAACCACTGTTTGGATCTGGAAGAGGTGTCACTACAGACAATTTTTTTACATCCGTGAAGACTGCAGAATTTTTGCTGCTGCAGAAGCATCACCATGACAGGAACATTGAGAGCTAAAAAAACTGATATTCCTGCAGTTATAGAAAATGCAAGAGGACGAGACATACTTTCATCAAAATTTATATTTTCTAACGGGGTAGCAGTAGTCAGCTATGTCCCAAAGAAAAACAAAACAGTCCGTTTACTCTCAACTCAATTTCTAGATAATTCAGTATCTTCTGAAAGTCACAGGAAGCCCAACATGATACTGGAATACAATAATACCAAGGGTGGAGTGGACAATGCAGATAAATTGATTAGAGAATATTCTTGTGCTAGACGAACCTCAAGATGGCCTCTAAGACTTTTCATGAATATGCTCGATATTGGTGCCCTGAATGCCTTCATAATTTGGATGTCGAAAAACAATGACTGGAATAGACATATGAAGAATATTAGATATCAATTTTTGTTATAATTAGGCAAAGAACTGACCAAACCCAACATTCTACGTAGGGCAACCAATCTAAATGGTCTCCACCTTCCAGTTGTCAAAGCAATTGAAGCTGCAGGAGTAGTTGTAGCACGCAACACTACAACCCAAAATATACCATCAGCATCAAGGCAGCAGCAGATCAAAAGGGGAAGATGTTCGTACTGTCCCAGAAACAAAGACAAAAAAGTTAACACAGTCTGTGGAGAATGTAAACGTTTTGTCTGTGAAACACACAGGAAGACAATCACCACTGTGACATGCGCCAAGGATTGCAGGGATAGCAACCAATGATTGATATATATAAATTTATAAATATAATATATACATACATAACATTTACCTATTTTTATTATAATAAATTTTTCATTATATTATTTTAAACGGATGAAAATTTTGAATAATCGATGAAAAGAAGAAAAATCAATTATGCTCAGAATACTTGTTTTACTAAAAAATATCTTAAAACACACAATAATCATCAAATAACTGAGAAATATCAAAAAATAATTGGGGTCCCTTGAGGACCCCAGCTTGGTAAACAATGTTGATGACATTGGCTTGGTATGTTAAGGGTTAAGGAACGAAACGCGTCTGGCCTAAAACGAGTTAGGAGTTCACAAAAATGCACTTTTGGTTGTGGTGGGAGATGGTGTAGACAAATCCAAAATTTTTACTCATACTTCTTTCTGACTCATTTTTTCAATAAATGTATTTATATATATATATATAATAATTATCATTATATATAATTTTTAATAGTAGTTATTATTGTTATTATATTAATAATTAACAACCAATAATAATAATATAAAAAGTAATAATAACATAAACATCTTTATTTTCACGAAAAAAAAGTGCAGAGTGGTAAAATACGTTTAAATTTATATCATAATTTGTTTCCGTCACAATAGATGATAACCATACAACAGTGTTTATCAACTCATCATTAAAAGAAATCGGCTTCGAACTTTTAAACAAGGATAGATTAAAATTATTATAAAAACCAATCGGCGATAATACAAAAGAGTCTACAGTTATTGATAAATTTTTATAACTGTTGTTTAAACAGCGGTACAAATTCAGAATGTTTATTTCTCTTGTATTGCCTGGATGATTCTAGGTTGGTCTCGCGGCGGACAGTTTACTCGATGAAGGATGGCGATGTCAGCTCGTAGGGTGTTAAATAGTTGTGATATCATCTGATTCGAAACATGCAATTAATAGACAATTGGCAAGAACGCATAATTTCAACCTGCTGGTGATCACGACTATTACAGCATCGAAAAGACTCGCCCGCAGTCAGGAACTTTTTATTTTGACTGACAATCTAAATTTTTGCCAATTTAACTTGTATTGTTCCGCACGATTTGTTGTCAAACAACTAACTAGAAAATTGCCAAAAGTTTTAACGGCTACTTTAAACAGGCCCTTATTACCAGACACAATTTCATCTACTCAAACAAATCTAAAACTAATATACTTCATCATCACATATTATGTAGTGGTCCAAGAGTGTGGAATGAATTGTTGAGGAAGGAATTTTAATTCAGGGCTTTTGGTCATTTCAGTTTCCAGCGATCGTTGAGGTCATTTTTAAAAACAGTTTAATAACAAATAAAAAGAAATTTGGAAATAAGTGCAGTCGGATTAGATATATGCTGGATCATCATGTATGGCTGATCAGAGTAGCGGGATTAAGCGTAGGCATATCTTGAAAACATGTCTGTTATTTTCTAATTCAAAGCGATAAGATTTCTTCGTTCTTTTGAAGTAAAATTAATGTAGCCATGACTGGCAAATGGCATTAGTAGACACTTTTAGTTTGTGCATTCAATAAATGAAAATGTTTTGCCAAGGTGCTATGGCCACAGAATGAAGGGCTGATTAATAATGAAGAATGAATAGAGATAGTGTAATGACGGGCAGTCACATGCAATGTGTGTGGTGCGTTGGTCCGGCATATTTACGTACGATGTGTGTTGTTGATACATCCAACAATCAATTAAGAAGAAATTACTATTACCGAAGTTGTTACTGACTTGGCTTCTTCAAAGGAACACAAGTTCCAGAATGAGTTAATTTATTTTTACTAACAACTGCCTAAAATTTAACTAAAATCGTAACAGAACAGTTGAAAAACGAAACTTTAGAAACGAAAAAACAGAGATCCTGTGTTTTATCCGGTCAACATATTTCGATTAGCGCAAAAGTAATTTCAGAAGCTTCTGCCAAAGGTTGATTTAGAAATTGTCATTGGCGTTTAGAACTTTTAAGTTGTCATCATGCGCAATTCGTTTGCTTATAGTTGTCAATAAAACTTGATTGCAAAATATTTTACAAAAATAATATTTTATTTTCTTCAGTCACATATAGAATAAAACTTTTGAAAAGTTCATGAAATACAGCAAATACTTTTGTTGGACAAAAAACGTTTCATAATTAATTGTTTTTTCGTGGAAAAAATAATTATTCATAATTATTTATTTTGCTCGAATAAAATAACCTCCGTTCATGCGACATTCTTGTTGCGAAAAACAGACACAACAGCATTTTTTCGAACGTTAACATTCGAGAAATTTTCATGAAGCCAAGTGTAGTGTTACTCGAATAAAAACAAAATAAATTTCATTATTTGCACCGACAACATCGATCACCACCAACATTAATGGACGATTGAAAAACGAAACAAACAATCAACTTGTTGTTGAAACTAATACATCTTTTTGAAGCTAAAATCTACCAAAAACCAAAGCTTTAAAATTAATTCTTAAACATTTCACAAATATTTACATATGTGACGCAATAAACAAAATTTTAAAAGCCTTTATATAGCGCCGATTTGCACTGCTGCTTCAGAAGCTCGGAGCTTGCTATATGTAGATTTTTTTGAAAGATTCAGTAAGAAACATTGTCTCACATTGAGAGGCAACTCATTTCAAACATCCGGAGTGGCATGACGGAAGACCGAATTAGCAAAATTGGATATGGCATTTGGAATAATTAGGAAGCATGTTGACGATCTGCGGAACGATCTGGCATGTTTATGGCGAGATATGAGGTCATTTAGATATGTTGGAGGATTTGATAATAATATTGTTGTAATTCTTTGATCTTGTAACTACCAACAACGACGTTATACCTTCAATAAACTCTAAATCTCCAACACCGTGTTGTAGCTTCCAACGATAGTCAAGCGTTTGTTTTTTTCCGTAGGTTCAAGATTTCAGATAGATGAACAACTACTTTAAACGCAAACGGACAGATCAGTGCAGAGAGTGGCTCACTAAAAACAAAGGTGAACAAATGAAATCTCTGTATCGTATAGCAAAAAAAGCAAAACGTACGAAAAAAAACATAGTTGGAGCCTCATGTATCAAAAACGACATAAATGAGATGGTTCTTGAGCAAGATGAAATCAAGCTACAGTGGAGAGAATACTTCAACCGTCTGTTAAATGAAACAAATCCCATCAACGCTTCACCCATCGAAGGTCTAATTCCAGACATCACTCTAGAGGAGCTTACAGAAGCTCTGAAAGCTATGAAGGATGGAAAGGCATAGGGCCCTCTGGACTCACAAATGACATTATCAAAGCCTCTGGTACTGCAGGTATTCAAACGTTACTACAACTTTGCCGTGAAGTTTGGAGAAATTGCTCAATGCCGACTAAAGCATGACAGTTCCGCTATACAAAGGCAAAGGTGATCCATTGAACTGTTCATCATATCGGGGTATACGTCTGTTAGAACACTTCCTGAAAATTGTCGCGAAAATCATTGAGAGAAGATTAACGTAGTGCATCACAATCGGAAATTATCAATTTGGTTTCCTAGCGGGGAAATCAACAATTGATGCAATTCACATCCTTCGGCAACTGCAAGAGAAGTACCTCGCAAAGCACCAACAACTATCACACATTTTTGTAGACCTTGAAAAAGCATTTGATCTAGTTTCCCGTGAAGCAATCAGGTGGAGTCTACGTCGACAATCCATTCCAGAATATCTTGTTCAACTTGTGATGGAAATGTCTACAAATATAAGGACTCTCGTCAGCACAACGGCTGGAAACACAAATGCATTTGACATCGGCGTTGGAGTTCACCAAGGCTCGATTCTCAGTTCACTGTTATTTATAACTGTGATGAAAAAAATTACAAAACCGATACGCACTGATGACATTTGGAATCTAATATGTGCTGATGATATCGTTTTAACAGCCACGTCTGAGCAGAATGCAGCACAGATGTTTGAAGATTGGAACACCAGACTCGCCGATCATGGATTCAAAGTCAACATCAGCAAAACCAAAACAAAGAACACTGGTAAACCCATCCAATCCACAGCTACTGAACGATGGCCTTGTTCAGTCTTTAAAGCTGGTGTAGGTAACAATTCAATCAAATGTCAGCAGTGTAACCAGTGGTGTCACAAACGTTTTTTTAAAAATAATTGGTACTTTATCTAAAGTGTCCAATTTTGTTTGTCCTGCTTGCATCAATCCACAACAACAAATTCGAAGTAGCAATGTTTTTGAAGCCATTAAGGTAGAGAAATTCACATCGTTTCAATATCTAGGGGATGTTCTGGATTGTACTGGAATAGAATAAATGGCATCTCCTTGCCTCTGTATTGATGAGAAACATGGCTAATGACAACCAAACTGGAACAACAACTTCACCGAACCGATATGAAAATGCTCCGATGGATGCAACGAAATAGTCTGAATGACCACATCAAATCTACCGAAATCCTGCGTCGTGCTGGTTTAGATGATATAAAGGACGAATGCCGGCAACACGTCTGCGGTGGTTTGGTCATGTCAAACGAAGTGGAAACAGTGCCATAACTTCTCTAGCAGATGCTGAAGTACCTGGCAAACGTCCCAAAGGCCGTCCAAAAATGTCCTGGTCGCAAACAATCGAGCAAGACATGAAAGCTCTAAATTTAAATGAAATGGATACAACTGATCAATCAATCAATTGAAATGTATACAGCGCGTTTTTCATTGTATTCAATGGTGCTATCCAAACGACGTGCACAAGTGCACGCGCAATTAAACGCATCATACTGCCCATATGATAACCTTGGACATATGGCATAGACTGGTTTCGAACCCGATGACTTGAACATCATCGACCAACACTCTAACCATTACAACATAGCCGCGGTGAAGTTAAGTTCAATAAATACAGTGAAAATTTTTTTTAATTGTACCTCTTCTAAAAGTGTTACTGCGTTTCTATTACAGATTATTGTAGTTGTCATGGATACAGTAGTCCAATTTGACGTTAATGCATGTGTAATATGTCGAGACTCCGAAGGTACTGACATTAAATTGGCTGAAGTGAAGACGGAGGGTAGATCAAATTTGATAGATTACAGCTGTAAACGCAAAGATGTTGATTTATTCAATTACTTGTCAAGTAATCAACCTGTCATTAAGGTGCATGAGAAATGTCGAAGAAATTACACGTATATACCTACTGAAAAAATAAAACGCACATTGGACGCAAATGAGGAAACAGTAGCTAAAAAATTTCTTAGATCCGGTTTTGAAAAATTTAATTGGAAAAAAAATTGTTTTTTATGTGCACAACCTGCAGCTGTTGATGTTAAAAATCCGAAAAAAAAAGGATATAATTTGTCAGGCCAAAACTGATACCATACATTCAACAATTCAGAGAGTATGCAGGGAAAGACAAGATAAATGGGCATTTGAAGTGAGTGGCCGGATTGAGACGAGTGGTGACTTGCATGCAGCAGATGCAGTTTATCACAAGAACTGTTATAGAAAATTTGTGACACCACCTCAAAAAGTTAAACCTGTCGGTCGCCCTCCACACGAAAATGCAGCTGAAATATTCAATATGATTTGTAATAATTTTGAAAATTCAGATTCCGAACTCCTAACAGTCGATAATCTCATTGAAGAGATGACACTTTTGTGTGATGATCCATCTGATGTTTATTCATCGCGTTATATGAAAAGCAAACTATATGAAAGATATGGGGACGACCTATTCATTGCTGATTTCAGTAACCGCAAAAATGTCATTCGTGTGGCCGCATGCAAAAATTGTTATGGAGAACAATGTGACAACAGCGAACAATTAACAACTTCTCAAGCATATGACACTGATTTTCTGGAAGATATTGATGTAGGCGTATATGATGAAGAGAACACAACACTTGGATATGATGAAAATACAATTTATTTCGATGATGTAACATGGTTGAATGAAGAAATCGTTGAAACTGGAGTATATTTTGATATGTAATAAAATAATTGTTAATTGTGTTGTTTTCAATAATATTGATTTTTTATTATTCAGAACAATCACAACATTACCACAAATTTAAATATAGAACACAAATGTATGAATCGATCAATGGTTCAATTTCAATGTAATGTATATATGTGTAGCGGCCATTTTGAATTTTTGTCAATAAAAAATTTTCCTGACTCCCGTGTCAATTCCTGTCATTTTCCCCATTAATTACAAGTGATAAGCTTTCTAAAAATACCAAATTTATAAAAGTGGGAATTTGTTCATGTAATTAATTTTTATCTGACTAACTATTTGACCAGAGCAATTTCAATCATTATTAAAATAATTTTCCAAGATTAAATGATGAACAGACTGTTTTAACGATCCTAACGTTGGCAAATTTTTAACATGCATTGGTAAAATATCCCATAGGCGACTCGACACATGAAAAACTGAATAAATTATAAAATTTTTGCGAGGTATCGGTAAGTAAAAATCCGGGTTATTTCTTAAAACTATGGAACGGTGATTTAATAAATGATTGAACTGACGGTTTAATGAGGGGCAGTAATTTAATTTAAATAATTTATATAAAAAAACAATAAAATAAATTGAATGTGTAATTGACATATTTTCAAAATTTTTGATGACGTATAAAAATGACTAATGTGATCAAATTATATATATATATGAAATACCCGTTTGATATATATTATATTATATACCTACCCACGTATTAAAGAAGTTTATAAAACTATTCGCACCATTTTTGATTTTTGGCAAGCCTGATAAACAGCAGTTTGAATGTGGGACAGTTTCCCTCTGCAAGCATGCTATCATAACTCCGCTGCTGAAAAAACATAATCTAGACAAAAATGAGGTTGGTAATTACAGACCAATTTCCAATCTGTCTTTCCTATCCAAAATTATCGAACGTGTGGTTGCCAGGCAAACACTCAGTTACTTGAACAATAACAATTTAATGCCAAATTTTCATTCTGGATTCCGTCAATACCATTCGACTGAAACAGCTCTTTTACAAGTTTTCTCAGCCCCGTGGCAATTGATGAACAAAATGTGGCAATGCTAGTTTTTCTTGATATGTCATCCGTATTTGATTGCGTAGATCACAAAGTACTTTTAACGACTACGTTGCAGTTTTGGAATCTTTGGTGCTGTTCTGAAGTGGTTTGAGTCGTATCTGGTAGGTAGATCACAACAGGTATCATTCGGGGGTAAATCGTCTGAGGTTAATGTTATGTTGTCTGGTGTGCCACAAGGTTCGGTTTTAGGACTTATTCTATTCCTGATCTATACATCTGAAGTACTAAAGATAATAGAATCATTTGATTTTTCAGGTCATGCTTTTGCGGACGACTTACAAATTATTGTTACGAGCAGACCAAATTCTTTTAAATCAGAATTGGACAAATTGGTTAAATGTTTGTCTGGGGTTAATAAGTGGATGCAAAACAATGGTTTAAAACAAAACCAAAACAAGACTATTTTTTTACCAATTGGAACATGGCAGCAACACTCAAGAATAGACATAGATTCAATAACTGTTAATGATGAGGTCATCCCATTTTGTCAGACAATAGCTAATCTTGGCTTCATAATTGATTCAGGTTTGTCAATGAAACGACACATTACGAAGCTCTCAGCCGAATGCATGTTTCAAATCAGGAAAATCAATCAAATTCCACGATCCCTAGATGCGTCCACGTTAAAGACGTTGGTTCATGCATTTGTGCACTCACGCATCGACTATTACAACAGTTTGTTTTATGACTTACCTGATCGATCCATGACTGTACTGCAGTCAATACAGTCATTCAAAGTATGAGAGGGGCAACTAACTCATAATTCTTCTCAAAAACCAAATTTCAACAGTGTTAATCTTTTTTTACCATTTCTTTAGAAACTGTCCAAGACTCAAAGCCGTAAGTTAGCACAGGAAAAATGTAACACCCCAACAGTTTTGATTTTGTTGATATTTTGATTTTACTGTTGGTGAGGATGTTTTTCATTTTAGAATATGCATCTTTCGCCGTAGCTATCCTTCTTTTGAGATCCATATCACATTTACAGCCTGAGGTAATCAGACTTCCGAGATAATTAATGCTGTTGACTTGTTTACCATTAATGATAATGGAGCAGATCGGGGCAGTTTTGCTTTTACTGATAACCATGCACTCGGTTTTGCTTATGTTAATCACAAGCCTTTCCTTTCACTTTCGAAAACCAGTTTGGAAACAATTGTTTGCAGTTTTGCCATTGATTCTGCTTAATAGCTGTATCATCAGCATATCTTATATTGTTAATATTCACGCCTCTAATGGATACAAGTCACCAGTTATTCTTACTATATTATTCTTACTAGGCGGCGCGATGGTGTAATGGCTAAGGTGTTCGGCATTGTTGATGCAGAGTCCGGGTTCGAATGCAAAAAGATTCCCGCCTATCACATGCAAAAGTTTGTGATGCGTTGACTCGCGTGCATTTATGCACCGTGTGTTTGTTGTAATAATGATAATGCGCTTCAGTCGCTTGCCATGGCGCTATATAAAATGACTATTATTATATATGTACTTTAACGTGTCGTTCATATATTTTTCGTCTTCGTTTTAAATTTAAACAATTAACATATAAATTTTATTCAAAAATAACCTTGAAGATAATTCATCGGCGTCGATAACAAGATACAAAAAAGATTTTTGAAAACTTAATTTTTGAATTAAATTATGAATATAATATTTAATAAAGAAATAAGAAAACTTGAAAAAGAAACGCAATAGCCCTACAACAAAATGAATAATAACAATATTATGCATACAAGATGAATAATTTTTTTTTTATTTTTACCAAAGAATTATTTTTTTATTAATTTGTTTTTTTAATTTATTTTTTATTAGCAATTTTTCCCCTCATTAATTTTTGTTCTGGCTGGATGTTTTCATCTAATGAATATATCCACACCGCCGTCAAACATCAAATGCCATACAACTGTGAATAATTTTTTTTTTCAAATTTTTATGCAAGAAAATGATTTGATCTGAAATGTGGTTACACACTTTGCACAAATAAGATTTTTAATAGCACGGCAATTTCAATGTTTAACAATAAAGAGTGTCGGGAATTGATTTTGAACGTATGCTCATTTTCTATATTGGATATAAGAGAGATCACTAGCATTAATAGTTCCGGGCATTTGCGAGTGTGATCCAGCATTTGAGAATTGTAACTGACTCGGGTACATTGCATTTGTCAGTCTTTTACCATTTGGAATTATCTACATGAAAAATACAGATAGAAAACTTTTATTAATCAATAAATCATTAACTTTGTTATTGATGGACAAAAAGTTTGCTTTTAACTATAAATAAACAAGCAAAAAAATGAATAAAATGTAATATAGTTGATGTGAACAAACTTTTTCATACAGTTATAACAATATTTTTATCAAAAATAACTGGGTGAAAATAACAACGATGAAACTATATTTATAAAATTTCTGTTTGTTTTCAATTGTGCAGGTCTATTTACAAAATGAGGAGCCTGCTTACAAATATTTTCAAACTTGAACTTTTGTATCACAGTAAACGAGGCACTCTACAAACACATTCGTTTATGTACGTGGTACATCCCATTTGTAACGTATGTATCGGTAAACAGTAAGGATACGGTACAAATAATCAATACATTCTTATGTACTGGTCAGCAATTACCGCATCACATGGTGATTGTTTGAGATTTGTGCAGACAGTATTTGTACTGCAGGCACAGTAGATTTCAGCAAAAAAAGCAAGACAAGCACACCAATAAAATTTAATAAACAGTAAAACCAGAAATAAATGTAAATACTTTAGATGTTCGAGGCAATCTGTTTTGATGTTTGTCGTCCGACCTCAGGATTATTGGATTATCCAAATTATGACTGAATGTAACAATTGCTGGTTTGTTAAGTTGCTGTTGATTTGGTTGTGGAGCCGAGATGTTTCGAGATAAATACTTTGAAGAAGCTACGATAACGTTGTGGCTATTTGAGCCCGGCTTAATTTCATGATGACGATTTAGTTTATCGATTGCTGTTTTGGAATGTGGTGTATTTTCATATACTATTTTCTGATGCACATTTGAACTTTTCAAAAGTTTACTATCAATATGATTTACATCATTAGATATTTGGTAACCCTTGTTCATAGGTCTTTGAGTTACAAATTTTTGAGAACTTCTGTTGGGATAATTTGTTGGTTTCAAATAATGAACATCGCCACAACTATTTATGCTATTTATAGATGAATGATCAATTTCTGACAAATTAGGCTGTTTTGAAGACGATTTATTTGGTAAACCCTGGTATTTAATTTGATTCAATGATACGTTGCTAACGTTTTGAGTTTCATCACCAGCTCCGTAATCGCTTTTACTGAAAGAATCGTTGATTTCAGAATTTGATATTTCTAATAGTCTATGACGCCTTTCACTTTTAGACCTAGCAACTATTTCATACAACCTTGTTCTGTACTCATCTACTGTCAGCTGGACATCATCCGGAACAGGATTTAAAATATCTCTCCCAATAACAGTTTCTTCTGCAGGGTTATGAAATCGTTGGACGTATTTATGATGAAGTGCATTATCGGCTGTTAATCTTTTATTGGGATTAAACTGAAGCAATTTGTTTAATAAATCGACCGCACTTTTTAATAAAATGTTGGCGGGTGCTGAGGAGGGCGATGCTGGCATTGAAAAAAAATCATTCAATGGTTGTCTTATTCTTTTGGACGCCTATTTATTAAAAAATTATTCTTCATTGATTGAACGAGTATAAAAAGGTAAGATAGGCAAACCTTCTCAAGAAGAGACGGACCATAAACAGATTGCATAGCATCTACATCTTGTTTAGTTGGAGGATCTACTGAGGCAATAATTTTTTCTATTTGATTAAGAGTTGAAGAACCAGGAAACAAGGGTTTTCCAGTCAACATTTCACCTAATATGCAACCCAAACTCCACATATCTACCCCTTTAGTGTACGTGTGACAAGCTAAGAGGATTTCAGGAGCTCTGTACCATCTTGTTGCAACATATTCAGTTAAATTTGGATCCCCTTGCTCATCTACAGTTATTTGTGATAACGATCTAAAAAATTTTCAAATTATTCAGTTCATTTCATTTATAACATCTATTATATATACTGGTTTATTCCTTCCATTTTATCAGCAGATCTATCAATAATTCAAGAAATATTATACGTATAATGCAACATCCATAGTGCTCATTTAACAAACAAACAAAAGACACACGGGCAATGAAACGGAATGATTTCGGTTTAAATAAGGATTTCACCAGAGTGCGTACTGTCTCTCGTACTTAACTTTGTGCTGTATGAGTCGAATTATTTTTTTAATATTCCTAAATTTCAGCAACGTTTTTTTAATTCAAATATTGAATTTACAAAAAATTAGAAGAACAATAAAAATTGTTATGACGGTTTTATGCTGAATTTGCACAGCGCTTTTCATTCATGTAGCATTGCCGAGCCGCCCAGTGTTCGTTTCAACGTTCGCTGACGAAAACCCTGGGTTGGCGTTGTCACACGATCACGCACATTTGACCGTCTTTTCCATTTTTTTCTATTTTGGGCCAGTTTCGGTTTCAAGCCCAGTGCCCTCGTGTCTTTTGACGACACTTCTTCTCAAGTGAGCTTGGGTCTGCCACTTTTTAAACCGCCAATTATTATAGTTCTACATTTCTTTAGCCAGTCCTCATTTGTTTTCCTCTCTACATGACCGAACCAAAATCGAAATAGGTTCTATACACTCGAGAATGAGTTGGAAAACTGTATATAATTCTAACGTTAATAAAATAATTAATGACGCAAAAATTTGGTTCGAAATATTGAGAAATGTAATAAAAAACTATCCAACGCTAGAAATTCTGTAGATTTCATAAATTATATATATAAGATTAAAATGTAATTATATATATATATATATATATATATATATATATATATATATATATATATATAATATCTATCTATCTTCGTTTACCGTCCAGAGACAGTTCCTCGAGGTAGGACGTTATATATATATATACATATATATATATATATATATATATATATATATATATATATATATTTTGGGACGAGGTTTTCAGCTATGCAGATTTCATTGAAAATATTCAATGATATATATATATCAAATATATATATATATATTTTTTTTTTTTTTTTTTTGGTAACAGATTGTTGTTAACGCAACATTTCAAAAATTCAACACTACTTTCAACATTGTTCAACTTTTTTATATTTCTTTTTAAAATATTAATTTCAGAGAAATTTATTGTTTTTATTGTTTTTCAAAAAATTTGTATTAAATAAATTTGCAAATAGCTATTTCGAGTTATATAAATTATTTAATTAAAACAGAAAACCAATAAATAAATTTAATAACTATAAACAATCGATTGCAAATGGAACATCATCACAAGAAGCAAGAAGAACCACAGCCATGATAATAATAATAATAACGTTAACAATAATAATAATAATAACGTTTTTAAATATTTTCAAAATAATATTAATAATATGTAGTTAATTAAATAAATTAATTCGCGCTTCTCGGCTGAGCGTTGATATTTACCTTAACAACCATAATATAAACAATCTTGCCGTTAAAATTTTAAAAATCGCGTTTTATATTGTTTATAGTTATTAAATTTATTTTATTGGTTTTCTGTTTTAATTAAATAATTTATATAAATTAATAATTACTTGTTCCTTTATATCAAATATCTTACATACCTTATATATAATGCACTGAAGATGAGTTATTTATAACTCGAAATAGCTATTTGCAAATTTATTTAATAAAAATTTTTTAAAAAACAATAAAATGTCTAATTTCTCTGAAATTAATAAATTAAAAAGAAATATAAAAAAGTTGAACAATGTTGAAAGTAGTGTTGAATTTTTGAAATAAATATATATATATATTATTTATTAATTAACATTTTATATATATATATATTATTTATTAATTAACATTTTTGAAAATGAGTTTTGAAAGAATTGTTTTACCACCAGCATTTTCGTTCAATAATTTTTGCTATATAATAAATACACAACATGCTGTGATATCCAAGTTTCTTAAAATGGTTCTGCGTAGTAGTGACCTGATTCGAACACAAAAACATTCCCGTGTTCTATTTTACTAATTTATTCACTAACACACCCAAACCATTTATTTTTTCTATTTTGTCCATATTCATTGACATTAACCTATAACTTGCGATACAAAATGCTACAATTTTTTCAACTTTACATTGAAAGGTTTTGACGACAAAATCTTTAAAAATATGCATCTTTGAGAAAAGTAAAATAACTCATGTATAAGTTATGGCAAACTGTTTCAGAACTTGTTCAATCAATCTTCGTTTTGCGTCCAGAGTCCCGGTTCCCCGAGGTAGGACGTTGTTTTCTTAACTTTTTGCGCCAAATTAGACGATCAGTTGTATCCATTTCATTTAAATTTAGAACTTTCATGTCTTGCTCGATTGTTTGCGACCAGGACTTCTTTGGACGGCCTTTGGGACGTGTGCCAGGTACTTCAACATCTGCTAGACATTCGTCCTTTATATCATCTAAACCAGCACGACCCAGGATTTCGGTGGATTTGATGTGGTCCTTCAGACTAATTCGTTGCATCCATCGGAGCATTTTCATGTCGGTTCGTTGAAGTTGTTGTTCCAGTTTGGTTGTCATTGGCCATGTTTCTGCACCATATAACAACACCGAGCGTATCACAGATTTATAAAGTCTTGATCGTAGTGGTAGTGGGATGTCACGCCGCATCAATATAGAGGCAAGGAAATGCCATTTATTCCAGGCTGCACGTATGCGTGCTCGAGCGGCAGCTTCAGCTGTTCCAGTACAATCTAGAACATCCCCTAGATATTAAAACGATGTAACTTTCTCTACCTTAATAGCTTCAAAAACATTGCTATTTCGAATTTCTTTATTGAAATTAGGTTGTCCTTTATTGGTTGTATCAAATTGTTTTGAATAATATGTCCTAAGTATTTGATAGAATTTGATGCAAATGTACATTTTTTAAATTTTAAGCGAAATCCTTCTGTTTGAATTGCTTCTAGCAACTGTCTCAAGTGTTTTATGTCTTCTTCGAAAGATTTTGAAAATACCAAGATGTCATCAATATAATTGACAATAAATTCAGTAAGTTAATATATTTATATTATATAATAATATTTTCTAAGTATATTACTCAATATTCTTTGGAATATTGCTGGTGCTGTCTTCAGACCAAACGGTAGACAAGTCCATTGGAAGTGTCCTTCTTGTGTTACAAATCCTGTCTTCTTTCTGTCTTCTACTCTAAGTGGTATAGACCAAAAAGCGGAGTTTATGTCTAGACTTGTGAAATAATTGCAATTCCTTGTCTTTATCATTAGGTCATCAATTAACGGGAATGGCTGAGCCTGTGGTACTACAATTTTATTTAAATCCCTAAAGTCTATACATAGTCTTGACTTTTTATTTTCTTCTTTCTTAAATGCTAAAGTTATTGGTGCTGCAAATGGCCTATAGGACTCCTCTATTAGCTTATTATCTAATAATTTTGATATTTGTTCTGCTATTTCTTTTTTGTCTTTTATAGTGCATCTATATGGCCTCTTGCTGCAGTATTTATCTAATAACAAATCTATTCTTGCTTCATATCCTTTAACTGTTCCTACGTCATACTTGTCCTTGGCAAAAACTGATTTATGTCGTTGTATTAGCTTATTAATCTCTTTCCTTTTTGTTTCATCTAAATGATTTACTTTTATTTCAAATTCTTTTTCTTTAATATGTTCGTTAAAATTTATTTTATATTCCTTTTCATATTTGTTGACCTCGTTTTCTCTCTTGATTATTCTTTCTTCTTTTTTAATATTTTCTTGTTGAAAATATAGTTTTTGAGTAATTTTTAACTTTTCATTTTGTACTAACTTGTATGTTTTTATCATGTCTAATCCTATTAAAAAATCATATCTGAAATGCGCATCATCGATAATGTAAACATCCACTTTTTCTTCTATTTCGAAAATTTTAACTTTTAGCTTCGTCAAACCACAAGTTTTTTTAACACCATTAGTTGTAACTAAATTTTGTTCATTTACATTATTATTCTCGTTTTTTAATTTTAGTAATTTGGAATTAATTAGAGAAACATTCGAACCTGAATCATACACTCCATATATCTCTAATTTAGAATTTATTATAAGTTTGACTTTAATTAATGGTGTTACTATTAGTTTTTTTGTTTTGTTTCATTTAACTCTGCTTCAATCACTGAATTGTTGACAAGTTTTATATATCTTCTATCAAATTTATTATTATCTCTCATTTTAAACCAACATGAAGCCTCTGGATGGTAGCGTATACCTTTATTTAACCGTTCACATATTTTGCATGCAGTACGTTTCTCAATTTTGTTATATATCTTTTGATTTTCGTATCTCGTGTAGGCTCCATTCTTATTTTTATTCATCAAATGTTCATACTTTCTTACTTTATTGAATAAGTCTACTGTATCATCTATTGATTGTCTATTTATCTTTTCTAGAACAAAGCCTGGCAATCCAGCTGCAATTAGATCCACTAGAGTACCTGTATCTATTGATGTTCTCATGTCCAATAAAAGTTTTTCTTTTTTTATAGCATAATTCACCAATGAACTATCCTTGTATTTAAATAACAACGCATACGTTACTTGGTTCCAGCTTTGATTTGCAAATGATTCACAGAATTTATTTTTCCATATAGACCACTCTGAGTTTAGTGTTAATTTTATAATCATAGAACTATACCAATCAGCGCAACTTTTGTCCATGAATAGTCTGAGTATCTCAATTTTTTCTCATCTTCCGTAATATCAAAACGTAAACATTCTTTTTCAAAAACATCAATCCACTGGCTTGGGTTAGTATTTTTACTTGTAAATCTTTCAATTATAAACTTTTCTGCAATATATTTCAGGTTCTGTTTTTTTAAATCTTGTGAGCTTTCAATAAATTTTGTAAATAATTTTTCCAATGAATCTGTATTTTTTCCTAAATTACCAGATGCTTGC